CCCCTTTCCCTTTTTCCTCTCACAAAAGCGTCTCTTCCCTGCTCTGTGCGTCTCTAGCATTTGCGATCCATTCAAAGAAACAACAAAAACCCAGCTCTGCAAAGAGCCCTGTTTTATTGCTATTGTCTTGCAAAAAAAGGGACAGTGGATGTTTGAAAACTGATGACAAAACCTTTCTTTTCCATTAGGCAACTCCGCATAATTTCTCTTATCTGTTTCGTTCTGTTGTGTTTTTTTCTGAAATTTTAAGAACCAAAGGTGCAGATCAAGATTGTAGACAGAATATCATCCTTTCGCTTTTTAACTCAATATTTTTTTATTGTTTTAATTTTTTCTTACTAAAGAGAATGTGGGGACAAAATAATAATAATAATAATAATAATAATAATAATAATTAATAAATGGGGGGGGTCACTGCCATTTCTACTTGGTCTACTTTTTTAAAGTACCACTTCTTATACATTGGGACATGGATCCACACTGTAACATATAAAGATGGGGTATAGGATTTTGTAAAAATAATAATCCCTATAGAGTGTGGATAGGGAAGAAGTTGTGTACATAGTTGTAAAATATTGTTCTAAATTATTCAGGCCTATTGTCACCATTCTTGAAGTCCTCAGTTGTGTTGCTGGGTCTTTTTGTATGCACACAGTATAATTTATTTAAAGGAACATACACTTTTTCCAAATAGTAGCTCAGCTGTGGACTTGTGACCTGTGTATAACTGTTTTAAGATCTTTGGGGGGATTTGTTTTGTTTCCTTTTTTGTTTTGTTTTATGGGGTTTTTTTAAATGACATTTTAGAATTTTAATTGGCTAATATCCTGCTGTTGCTACGGGACCTAAACGTTACTGTCAGTCTGCTGTAAAGCACAGATCGCTCTATTTATTGTAGAAAGTGAGTTTATTTGCTTTCTAGAATTGTTTATATCAGATGGTATAAGAGAGGTAATAAGAAAATCTATGCTTGTAAAGAAAAAATGCTAATTTTACCTACTATAATCTGACTGTCTGAAACTATATTTTCTCTTTGAGAAATAAATGTTCTAATGTAAAATCTCTGGTCAAGTTGTCCTTGTGTGTTCAGACTTTGGGGGTTTCATTTCCCACCCTCTGCCAGCCCCCAGAGATGAGAAACAAGCAAGAACCTTCATGAAGGCCTTTTGGTCTCCTGCATTACCAGATGACAAAGCGAGCAAGTCCTCTTCTTTAGTGATTTGCTCTTTTGGTTTGTTCCCCAAATGGAGTAGCTCTCTCCGCTGTCAGATACTTCAGGGAGCTTTGAAAGGGGAGAGGTCACAAAACATCGAGCATAGCCATCAAGGCAGGCATTGTGGGATACTGGCAGAAGCCAGTTCTCTGGACAAATAAACAGAGAACCTGGCTCTCTGTCTACAATAAAGGGAAGGGAAAAGACAAGTTTTTTGTCACCAAAACTGGGTGTTTTTTCTGGCAAAAGTTGCATTGTAGTGTGTTCAGCACTCTCACTGCTTTGTCACCAAAAGGCAGTTTTTGGTGACAAAATGTGCCAGTGTAGACAAGGCCTTAGTGTCAGAGTCCCAGCTGGAAGAGCCGTCCTGTTCTGGCAAGCAGCATCGGGTCTCTCTGATAGCAAGGGAGGGTTTTTATCTTCTGTCTGAGGAGTGGCTCCTTGGTTGCTTCAGGTCCCGTGCTAATTCCTGGCTGCAATGGTTTGCTTTCCCTTTTCTTCCTCGTGACAGGAGAGTGAATGGCTCCAGGTGAGACATGTTGCAGTAGAAAATGAAAATGCTCCTGCAGAGGAAGCGAAATTTACCTTGGGCAGAAACCCAGCACAATGCTTACGTGCCATTAACATCCGCTTACACCGTACAGCTCTGGTCCTGCGGTCCCTCACTGGTTTCAGAGGAACTGAGCACAAGTTTATATTTCAGTGCAGGACCGGGGCCTAACAGCTTACATGGTCCCCGTGATGTTGGCACTCCACATGGGGCGAATTTCACTCATGAGAACTCGCCCCTTGGTCAGAGGTTTCTTGCTTCCTGGGCTGGCCTGTAGTTGTCTCTACTCATCTGCTTTTCTTATCGCGAGGGGTCATTGGAGCGCTTGTCTGCTCTTACTGCCTGATTGCTCTTGGGAGAGGAGAGCTGCTCTGAGGCTTGTGACAAGCACCTGCTTTTAATCTGCTCACATTACAAATGAAATCTCACCCGTTGCTAGCTTGGGGTGAGATTTAGTTTGGCCTCATTTTCATCTTGCTGCTCTCCGGGCAGGTCAGGAGCAATTCCCCGGGAGTCATTGCACTGCTATTTGACATAGCTGTTTCAAATGACAGGAGAATTACGCCCTTATTTTCCTGGCTCCTGAAATACCAGGCTGCGAGTAAGATGACCTCTGTGCAGCCTTTTTGCTTTTAAACCTGGTTGGGTTTTCACGTGAAAGATTCCAAACCCAACAGGTTGGACATTAGGAAAAACTTCCTACCTGTCAGGGGGTATGTCTACACTCCCACCCTAGTTCGAACTAGGGTGGTTAATGTAGGCATCCGAAGTTGCAAATGAAGCCCAGGATTTAAATATCCTGGGCTTCATTTGCATCTTGCCGGGCGCCGCCATTTTTAAATGCCCGTTAGTGCGGACTCCGTGCCCGCGGCTACACGCAGCACGGAGTAGGTAGTTCGGATTAGGGCTCTCTATTCCGAACTACTGCCGCGTGTAGCTGTGGGCACGGAGTCTGCACTAATGGGCATTTAAAAATGGCGGCGCCCGGTAAGATGCAAATGAAGCCCAGGATATTTAAATCCTGGGCTTCATTTGCAACTTCGGATGCCTACATTAACCACCCTAGTTCGAACTAGGGTGGGAGTGTAGACATACCCCCTGACAGGTAGGAAGTTTTTCCTAATGTCCAACCTGTTGGGTTTGGAATCTTTCACGTGAAAACCCAACCAGGTTTAAAAGCAAAAAGGCTGCACAGAGGTCATCTTACTCGCAGCCTGGTATTTCAGGAGCCAGGAAAATAAGGGCGTAATTCTCCTGTCATTTGAAACAGCTATGTCAAATAGCAGTGCAATGACTCCCGGGGAATTGCTCCGCTAGGATTTTCTGAAGAGCTGAGCCTGAGCTGATAGCTTCCAGAGGGAGCTGTGTGTGTCTACACTGCAGAGTTAACCAGGATTCTCACTCAGGATCCATTCCTAGCCCCTGTCCTCCAAACGCCAACCTGCTCTCTCACCCGAATTAAGCGTTGCTTTCCACCTAGGCACGCTACTTGCACCAAGGCGGGGCTAGCCCAGGTGCTAACTCTGCGTTGAAGACATAGCCCATTTGCTACAATGCTATTCGAGTGACAGTGTGACAACCAACTCCCTTGGATGCAACAGACCCTGCCTCCGAATCATATTCAATCCTTTTGTGTGTGGTCTCTTTATTCCTTGTCCCAGTGAGTGCAGGACTTTGTCTTTACACTCACTCATCTCTTCCTTCCTGCAGCCTCTATTCACCTGCCAGTGTGTTCTGCCTGTCTCTCTCCCGGCCGCAAGTGCGGTATCACAAGCGCAAGAGATCCCAGGTCACTGTATAAAAGTTCTCAATAAAGTGCCCTGCAAAACGCTTATGGGAAAGATTGTGTCTGGTTAAAAAAGCCTCCGCAAAGGGCCTGAGCCAGGTTGAGGGCCACTGTTATTAGAAGACTTTCCACAGCACTCTGTCCTGCAGCCACAGAGGTAATTCAGTGCCTAAGCTCCAGGATTATGGGCCTAAGACCCAGCTTTGGTTCCACCTTGATCGGCAAAACTTCCACGGAACCCCGTAGGCACCTAATGTCACTCAGCTCGTTTTCAGGGTAAGCTGCTGGCCAGAGTGTGTTGTGGGGGTTATCTGGGCACCAGATGACGAGATGTTTCACTCCGGTATAGACTTGTTCCGGTTAGGTCCCCATCATGTGACGTGTTGGTCCTGCCCAGAAAGTCACAGTGGAACTAACACAACATGGCCCCACATTTATCCTTCGGCTGCCTCAGCACAGCCAGCAGGCGCTGGCTTACTACACACCCAGATGCTGTTTTCCTATTGGCTGCATCTGCCGCCTGCCTGGTGACACTGGATTCTGCACTCCCGTTGGCATCACCCAGACCAGAATCCCCCCTTCGCTGAGCGCCGCCCCCCGGAACACCAGGTGGGTCCGTGTTACACTGCTTCATCCTCCCACCCATCGGGCTATTCACACCCTGTTCACAGCGTCACTGAACTGGGCAAATGAGATTGGGAGAGCCTCGTCGGGGAGCCTTAGAAAACACCGCTGGAAAGACGTTGCTTTGGCCAAGTGATGGACTGGATACAAAGTGGACTCTTGTCCTGGCCCTCTGTCCCAGGAGGATCTCTGTCTGGCCCTCTGTCCCAGGAGGATCTCTGTCTGGCCCTCTGTCCCAGGAGGATCTCTGTCTGGCCCTCTGTCCCAGGAGGATCTCTGTCTGGCCCTCTGTCCCAGGAGGATCTCTGTCTGGCCCTCTGTCCCAGGAGGATCTCTGTCTGGCCCTCTGTCCCAGGAGGATCTCTGTCTGGCCCTCTGTCCCAGGAGGATCTCTGTCTGGCCCTCTGTCCCAGGAGGATCTCTGTCTGGCCCTCTGTCCCAGGAGGATCTCTGTCTGGCCCTCTGTCCCAGGAGGATCTCTGTCTGGCCCTCTGTCCCAGGAGGATCTCTGTCTGGCCCTCTGTCCCAGGAGGATCTCTGTCTGGCCCTCTGTCCCAGGAGGATCTCTGTCTGGCCCTCTGTCCCAGGAGGATCTCTGTCTGGCCCTCTGTCCCAGGAGGATCTCTGTCTGGCCCTCTGTCCCAGGAGGATCTCTGTCTGGCCCTCTGTCCCAGGAGGATCTCTGTCTGGCCCTCTGTCCCAGGAGGATCTCTGTCTGGCCCTCTGTCCCAGGAGGATCTCTGTCTGGCCCTCTGTCCCAGGAGGATCTCTGTCTGGCCCTCTGTCCCAGGAGGAT